GAAAAACTGCATCCGGATGATTCGGCAATGCTTGTTAGCGATCCTGTTCTTTGCCAAGAAGGTCAGTTTTTGCGTGGGCGTATTGAATGATCTGCTCGTAAACTTTGGATTTTTAAATATTTTGGTAGCATAACAATTTCGAAAAAAACAAACAATTTCTTAAAATATCAATTTCAGGTGACGGTCTCGTCAGGTTTCTCTATTGGACCAGTCCTGGTGTGGGCGTTCGCGTCTGTTTTCGTCGCCCCGGTGCCGGAAAACGTTTCGACTGGTGCAGCGCGGAGTTGACTACCGGCGATCCCGGTCCGGCCCGGATCACGATCCCTGGATCAATTCTGCACAAATTCGAGGTACCACCACCCCTACCTGCAGCTGCTTCTCTTTGATTTCCCTTTCCACACTGACCGTCCTCTCAGTCAGAAGTGGATTTGAGCAGTACTATCACTGTATTGAAACTTCATTATTCATCATTAAAGATGCATGAAACCGAGGTCAAAGGTCACGCTCTCATATCGACGTTAGCCTTTCACTGATCTTGAGTTCCAGAACTTGAGCAAATGTCTCTAGTCAAGGTGTCTAGGGCATCTCTCCAGTGGATTTATTTTTGGAATTTTCTGTCCCGTTTGGCCTTGTCTTGTCAGCTGGTTTTGTTCCAGAGGAAATTTTTTCAGCTGGTCATTGAAGCGAGAAATTTCATATTTCAAGCCTTCGGTATGGCCGGTGGCCTGTGCGTCCTGGATGATATCAGCTACACGGCTAAAGCCGTGCGCAACTGCCGATTGGGTTAGTCCAAAGCAAGAAATGAATGAAAAATCTGTCCTCCGACCTGAAAAAGGAAATTTTATTGTGCCAAATGAAAATAACCAACTTATTCCACGCGATATCGTTTCCGCCGAAACTATTATACATTGCAGTACAGTATCGGAAACTAGAGTATCCCCACCAGCTACAGTATCCCCACTATAGTTTCTTTACAAAACTACACTGCCGTCAGCGACTCATCGCCCCCACAAAACTACAGTATATCAATAATTTCGCTTCAGAACCCCATCTGGATGCCCTAATCGACCTATCCAGACAAACCTGCATGGCGGTGCAGTGCTCCTTCGACGAGCACGGCACGCATCCCGTAGAAGAATGCTTGCGTAGAAACATTCACGAAACCCCNTCTGCAAATGCGGTTGGAAATTACCATACTGGTATACGAAAACCACTCGGTTGGTTTTTTGCTAAACCATGAAGACGTAGACAGAGGTCAAAGGTCAAGCTCAGTTCAACCTAAATGCTGAGCTCGAGCCATCCCCTTTCTTCCAAAACTTTTCATTTTATCAAATACTGCGCAATTTATGCTTTGCTAACCAACTAATCTACAGTCATATCATAGGTTCCATAATTTTTTGGAGATAACTTTTAATTTCAGGATTCAATTTCAGGTCAGAATTGGGGATTTTAGCTGATTTTTTGATTGATCCAATAAAATTGAATGTAATCGGCTGGAGTTTTCAGCTAGTCGTTATGCTTATGTTCATGGACCTGGTGCTAAGGTGTTCTGGTTGTCCCAGTTCAGTCTGCCACGTGATGCTGTACTGGAATTCTGCTACTACAGGTTTTTAGCTGCTATTGTTTTCATTGTTGTAATTTTGCAGCACTATATTTTTGCAAAAAAATTATAGGGATGTTCACGCAGAGCAGCAATTTTTCCCAAATTTTTACGTCATTTCCCGGGAAACGCGCTCAACTTATGCGGGTAAACTGTATTTCCCAAGCTTCGTACCTGGGCAAAATTTTTCAATTTTATATTTTCAGGGCATTTCGTAACGTACGTCTCGCCATCTACAATGAACAAGCGCCGAGTGAGAATCGAACGCAACTCTATGAAAGCGACGAAATCGATAGTAACCCTCATGAGTGGGTCTGTGACGGG